GACAGCATATACGGAGCTTTTTTGGATTCCAGGCATCAGGGAAAAATTCAAAAGCTTCAAAACTCGTGCAATCGTTTAATTTTCGGCCTGAGGAAATATGACCATGTGTCTTTTGGTTTTAAGCAGTTAAAATCGCTGAACATGAAATCTCGCAGATACATCTACAAGGCCTGTTTGTATTATAGGGTCATCACTGGAGGTACCCCTCCATACTTGCACGATAGGATTAAATTAAGAACGAACGTACATAATGTTAATGTTCGCTTCAAGGGTAGACTAACATCTCCTTCCCACCGGACAGAATTTTTCAAACAGTGTTTTTCTTATCAGATATACACCATATACAATAATTTACCTCGACACCTGATTGGACTACCCCTGAACCGATTTAAAAGAGCATTGAGATGTTGGCTGATGGATGGGTGACGGAGGGCTTCTGTGTATAGCTAGCTCTCTATGTATGCCTCTAACTTTTAAATATTATGTCTCATTCTTCTATGAGTTTTCATTATTTCCTTGCAATTGGTATCCTTTTTTTTCCTTTGTTTTGTTAGGTTCTTTCTGTTAGGTTGAGTGGAAGATCAGGGTTGACCTGAACTAAATTACATTTGTTTTATAATATTTTGTCTTATTTTTTGTATTTTTATTATATATTATATTACTTCACAAGATTGTACACAAGATTGTAATTATAAAATTGCTCGAATAAAGTGATTATTATTATTATATCTAAACTTGTTTAAAGACCCAAATCTTCTATAAATTTCTTTTGCTTGCATCTGTTCAGTGATTTGGTTAAAATATCTGCCATCATTTCATCGGTACGCATGTATTGAAACTGCAGCTCTTCATTTTCAATTCCATTGCTAATAAAATAATATTTCACATCGATATGTTTGGTTCGTTTGTGATGTACTGGATTTAGAGATAATTTCTGTGCATTTTGGTTATCATTGTATGTTGTTATACATTTTATTTCACCAACCAAATCATTGAACAAATTTCTTAAGTATATCAGCTTCCATCCGTTTTCTACAAATTTTACACTATTACCATTCTTAGTCAACTAGCTTACAGAAAGTAAATTTGTTGTTAGTTCCGGCACATATTTTATATCTTTAATAGTTATATCATAAACGCTATCTCCTACTACCATCATGACTTTTATTATTTATTCTGTAAGATGTACATTTCCTGTACATCTTACAGAATGTCGTTGGTTAAGAGCTGCTACTATATCCTGTAGACTGTCACCTGTTGACATATCTTTCAACCAGTCCTGTCGTACTGCAAGGTGAACACTGGCTCCTGAATCTATATATCAGTCGCTGTCTGTGAACTTTCCATTTACAAACGTAACACTGAAAGCATTTGATTCTTTTACCATTTTCTTGTTTTCTTTATTCGGACACTTATTTTTATAATGCCCCATTTGCTTATATCCGAAACATTTTATATCATCCTTTAAGTTTTTTCTTTTACGTTTTTATTGAATCTTCTGTTACAGCTATACCAGAATGTTCAATCGTCATGATCATTGGTGGATTTAAAACCCCTTAACTTCTGAGTTGTATAAAATATAGAGTAAAAATCAACTCTAAAACATGGTTCAGATCGGTCCAATTTATTTAGAGTTATTTTTTTGCACTATATAGTGTAGGTGAATAGATTAAAAATTTACACTAAAAAGTGAGAAGATGGTGTTTATTAAATAGTGTAAAATCGTTACTCTATAACAGTGTATTACATGTAATCTAACTAGATGTTGTCGTGACTCTAATTAGATACATTTCTAATCTAATCAGTGTAAATTATTAAAAATTCACTCTAATTTTACTCTATTAATTGACAAAATATCACTAAATAGTGTGTATCTTCCACTTATTAGTGTTAATTTTTAATAGGAAGTGGAGTATTTTTAGGGAAGTTTTACGTTTGTAATAAAAATCAAAATTATAAAATATTTGTTTTTATTCTTACTTGTAATATATTGTTATAACTTAAATTTAAAAAAATTAAATTCTGTTTATATACATATATAATACTTAATTCATTTTAAAGTTTCCACCGAGTCATCATCAAAACTACATCTAATGAGTCTTCTATAAGTTTCCTATATGTATACTTGCACCAAGTTGCACATACTTACCAATCTTCACAAGGAACTTGTATGTAAAATCTTCCGGAAGTTCCACTAATTTCACATCATGAATGTTTTATTTTGGCAAACATAATTAAAATAAAAGTAATTGTTCTTTCTTTCTATATCGCGTAAATCAGGTCTCGAGACGCTATCGAGTTCCGACTCGTTTAGTAGATGACCGTTAAATTTTAGCTGTATCACACCACATGTTGATCACGTCGTACCGACGAGTAATCCCGAGCAAAATAGTGCGGTGCCTGCGAAGTACCCGAAGGAAAAGTACACGTCTAGTGTAAACTTTAATGTTTTATATATTACATAACTTCACTAACATAAGTAAAAAAGAACTCTCCTTTAGAGAACTGTAAAAACTACTCTATTAAGTGAATAATATATGAACTCTATATTAATATTAAATATAGTGTATATTAGAGTCATTTTTACCATGTGATATTACAATTTTTTCTCTAATTCTTTTTACCAACTATACCATATCCAGATCGAATTCGCACTTATGAAAATCAATTTCAAATTTACGAAATTTGATTTCACACAACTGAAAATCATTTTCGTACTAACGAAAAATCAATTTCGTACTAATGAAAACCAATTTTACACTAAAGAAACTAAATTTTTCCTTTACGAATTTCAAAGTCAACATTATGAAAACGAATTTTACATTCGTGAGAATGAATTTTATGTTTATGAAGATCAATTTCGAAAGAATTTGACTAGGCTGTAAATAAAGGCCTATATAAACATGTTTATTCAATGGAATTTTAATAACGAGTATTTAAATAATTACATATATATAAATTACATCTTAAAACTTATATTTCGTTTAGATCTCGTTTAAATCTTGCTCCCTTAGCACAGCAGCATAATAACGCTCCACATGATTTGTATACCCCAAAAGATGTTGCTGGGGAGCATCCCTAATTGCTTCATCTGCGATTTCTTCTAAAATCCGCATTCTACGTTCGGCAATAGTGAGTCCTTGATTATTATTTAAACGCACATAGTTCAGTACGTTTGGCATTCTAACTTGTATCTGTCTCTTCATTTTAGATTTAAAGGAGCTCCATAGGAGTTCAATAAGGTTTAATAAATATGAATACGGTGCTAAACGTATTATTTGAACATCCTCTTGGGGTTGCAAAACACTTTCCATGTTTGAGTGCCAAGGTGCGTTGTCGATAATAAAACTCGGGTGCAAAAATCCTAAATGTCTACATGTTGCAATTAAACCTCTAAACCATACTTTGCATTCTGCACCTTTATACGAACCTCTTTTATGCTCAAAAGATACAATTTGTGTGGAACACATCGCGCCAATGCAATGCAAATTATTTCCTTTACTTGCCGGAACAACCACATGAGCTCTATGGCCAATTTTTGATCTACCCTCATTTCGACGGCAATATAAATTAAAGTTGCACTCATCAATCTAAATGAGGTCTCTACCGTTACCCCGGCTTTCTAAAAGTTTTTCAACATACTCCCTTCGTTTGACTTTATTTTCGTACGTATTGATGTTTGTAACATGTGGTCGAATTTTTTTAAACGAAAATAATTTACCGTCCAGCCAGTTCTTTATCGTATTAATTGAAACACGAAGTTCAAATTCATTATGCACGCGATTAGATAGAACTTTAAGCGTTAACGTACTATCTTCTTCGATCCACCTTACTAACGCTTCGTCAATTGCAAGAGTTTTTTTAGACTTGGAACCTCCTTTAGGTTTCGGATCTTCTTGATCATTTTTTAACCATTCGTACGCAGTGCGAACGTTGACACCCAAGTCTTGAGCAGTTTGCCTCCAGTTTTTACCATCTTCGTAAGCTTTCATTATTCTTCTTCTATCAGCAGCACTAACCTTATTGTATATACCGCGAGGCATTTTCATGGCGTTACGAAAGTTTGACGTTTATTAAAACAAATACCAAGCATACATGACTTATTCTTCGCAATTAATTGCATATTAATTGTCTTTCTTTAGGTGAGATTCCAAGTGTAAGTATACTAGATTTTTTTTAAATTGATTTTCATAAATTAATTTTGACGTGTATGAAATTCATTTTAATAAAAACAAAATTAAAATTCGTAAAAGAAAAATTCAGTTTCTTTAGTGTGAACTGGTTTTCGTTAGTAGGAAATTGATTTGTCGTTAGTGCAAAAATGATTTTCATTTGTGTGAAATCCAATTTCGTAAGTTTGAAATTGAATTTCATAACTGTGAAATTGATCTGGAAATGGTATAGTCTAAAATTTTTACACACGATTTTTTTCTGTGTAGCCTGTTGATCTTGCTTGATTATTTAATCAAAGAAGCTCATAAACAAAGGTTTTCTAGACGTTTCTTACTTTTTTCTGCAAACGACAATAACAACAAATATTTTTGAAAACTATTCAAGGTTTTTTTTTTAACTACTAACTTTATAGTTATTTTTTAACAACAATTTTACTCTATAGATGACGCTATTAGCCATGTGATTTTAAAACTACAAAAAAGTTAATTTTGGTGTTTAAATCACGAGTATTCTGGTAGTATAATGCATACTGTGTCCGTTGGGAGTTTTCTCTTTTGACAATTCAAGGATATCCATTATGGAATTGCAAGTCTTTTTCTCCATTCTCAAATTCGATGCACATTTTACGCTCAAACTTCTGTTGTCGTGGAGTTCGGTCATCATTAATATAAAAATCTAATAAATACTAAAATTCTCTGCGTATTTGACAAAAAAAATGTAAAATCGCTTTTTTCACCGATTTAGAAACAGTTACTCCAAACAACTTACTCTAGTAGCCTGGAAAATAGCAAACTGTACTTCATTAAAAACATATTGTCAAATTCAATTTGACGTTTTAATTATTATAAAACTGTAAAAAATTATTTATCGAGAACCGAAAATGTTAACTGCTTTAACCGCTTTGAAAACAGTCCTGCCTAATCTAAATAATATAAATTTAATTAAAACAAGAACGTTGTACACCGTCCCTGAACGTTATCGAAACGCATTTTACTTGGCAAATGCTTCCCTTTTCGATTACACAAATTGGTATATTCACAAGGCGTATGAATCCTGCTTTAAAACCGTCTTAAACACCGTCTTTACTTCATATCCGAATATGACCGATAATAAAGCAAAACTTAAAGTGTTGGATATTATCAATCTTTTAGAACCGTGTAGCGGCGTTGTGGACATTAGCTTTCCCATTAAGAAAACGGACGGAACTTACGAGGTTGTTCAAGGTTATCGGGCCATACATGCTTTAAATTTGTATGAAATGCCGAATTTAGGAGGAATGAGGATTTGTTCGGATTTGTCAAAAGATCATATTCGAGCATTTTCGATTTTGGCCACATACAAACATGCATGTTTTGGTATTGATATGGCCGGATCTCATGGTGGGTTAAAAATAAGTGGTTACGATTACGACTCAAGTGATCTGAAGAATATCGTCGTTACATATGGAAAAGAATTGGCTAAAAGAGGATTTTTAGGGCACAAAGTTGACGTTTTAGAACCGGATCTTTATTGTACCTCAAACGAAATGGAGTGGATTTCAAATACATTTGCAAAAACAGGTTAGCAAAGAGATTTTTTTTTGTTAAATTATTATTCACTTGGTAAAGAAGGACTTGAGTAAATTTATTGCGTAATTTGTTCGTTGAATGACATAAAAGGTATTTCTAAAATTGGATTGTCGTGCTGTAAGATCGAGTGCAAATATTAACACGTTTTCGGTAGAAAACGTATCCCACGAGCTCGCCAATAGTTTCGAGCTGCAGTTTCTCACGAAGAGGGATCGATTATCATAAGAAACGAGCCGATCCGTGTTTATAGTTGTCGACGTTGCATCGAAATTCGTTTGCATTTATCTGTTTGAATTTCTCAATGTTAAATCGAATAGAAATTCCTTTCTCCAACATAAAGATTATTTTAATTATATAATAATTTTTAGAAACAGCGGGAATTGCTTGTGCAGTAGGGAAAACCCCGGAAAATGGAGGGATTGAAATGTACGACGAAGCTTTTGGATTAGGAGTTATGTACGCTTTAAATTTGTTTATGGAGAATAAAGAGGTGCTAAATAAATTAAGTTGGGAAGGTGATTTAAGAGGAAAAACATTTCTTGTTCAGGTTCTCCTTAATATCTAATACATATTTAACTTCTTTAATGAATTAAAAATGCAGGGATTAGGAAAAATTGGGTCTCAAATTGCTCGAATGTTAACAAGAGCCGGAGCGATGTGTATTGGTGTAAAAGAACACGATTCTTATATTCTTATGGAAGATGGAGTTCCAATTGATGTGAATAAATTTGTTTTTTAATACCTTTTTATTTGTTTTAATTTTGCAGAGTTTAATAAAATACAAAGAAGACACCGGATCAATTATGGAATATAACAAATACGCAAAGCCGGGAACTACCGAACAAATTTTTACCGAACAATGCGATATTTTAGTTTTATCGGCAACTCATCGCAGTATACAGTGTCATGTGGCGGAAAGAATCAAGGCAAAGATCATCATTGAAGCTGCTTACTCCTCGTTAACTCCGACTGCTTATAAAGTTTTGGTGGCTAGAAATTGTTTAGTGCTTCCGGATATTTTTACCGGAGCGGGATTTTCGGTGGCTTCATATTTGGAGTACATTAAAAATGTGAACAATTCCCCTCTAAATGCTTTAGTTAGCAGGTAAATTGTTTTTTAAACAATTTATGTGGAATATATTTTTAAATTAATATGTTTTAGGGTCTTGAATTTAGCTATAACAAGTCAAAAACAGATTCTCACCGATGAGGAATATTTAAGAAAAACTATAGAGAGTATGGTAACGACAACATATGAGGTAGCAATTTTATAAAATTTATTTTTTAGTTTTTGTCTGATTTTATAACAAGAATAAGTGTGTATTAGAAACGATATCCATTAGAGTTGTTCACCGATACTTGTACCTATCTTGTACGATATTTTGAAACAAGTATTTGTATATTGTTCTTTGGACTCAGAGTTGAGCTATTAGCAGTAAAAATTTACTGCAAGTAAAGTATACAGTACTTTTAAATTGTAGGTACTTAATACTTGTACTTTCAGTATTTAGCTTAAAATGTACTGGATACTTGTTACTTGTTTGACATAAGAAGTACTTGAAGAACTCCAGTACCTTCAATGATAATGTAAAATAACAATTTTTTAATGTTTTCTTATACCTAACATTTATCATCATACGTATATTAGTTATATACTTAACAGTGATAGTTTATACTTTATCATTTCGTGTAGCCATGAAATGTACATGATATACATAAATATACATGATAATATAGCCATTCACTACATAGTGTTCGACTCATTCCTAATTCCCATCCCATCTCTTTACTATTTCAAAATTTAAATTATGCAAAACAATTCGCAGTTTGTATTTTTGATGTTTCAATAAGTTTTTATAATTGCGGTCAGATGATCACAGATATTAAACTTGATTTGTCAAAATGCGCTTTTGTCTGTACAACAGCAGATATATAGTCTTGTAAGAAGAGAAGTTTCATGGGAATAACTTATCATTGGATAACCGACAATCTACAAAGAAAATTTGTAGCATTATCTTGTTGTCGATTTGAAGGAACACATTCATATGATAGAATTGCAGAAATTTTAGACGACATTTATAAGGCATATGATCTGGATGGAAAAATTTTACAATTACTAACAATGGGTCTTGAGTGTGTTTTCAAAATGAGTGTTTTCAAGAATTTTGAGTTTATACGGATAAAGAAACTGAAGAAAATAACACAGAACAGGTGTCTGAAACGACCGAAGCTGAGGCATTAATACCAGATTTAGAAAATATAGGCGAAGAAACTGAAATTGTTTCAGATTTACAATTTGCTAGTGTTGCAGAATGTTCCGAACCAACAAGTAGCAAACATCATATACAGGTGTCCCGAAACTATGAGAGGCCAACCCATATTTGTTCTGGTAAAAATAAGAAAAAAATTTGAAAATGTTAAAAATCGTTCGAATACATCATATCTTTAGGTACTACTTTCAGAAATGTTCGCAATTTAATAGTGATTTTTTTACCGGCGTGAAAACAGCACGCCAAACATAGCACGCCATTTCAGCGAGATCACCCGGTATACAGTGAAGTCGGTTTTACATGCTCCAATTTGTACAAAACTAAACTACAGAAAATTCGACTATTATATTGATTCCAAAGGTCGATTACTTTGAAACAGAGCAATAAATACATTTGAAAAATTAGCGTAAATAAATTGTCTTGCTCCGATTTCGTAAAGGCTGTCTTACCCTCATATTAAGTATATTTAGCAACTATCAGATCTTTTCTTCTGCAGTCGTTAACACAGAGCTATAATATTTAATATGAGGGTAAGACAGCCTTTACGAAATCGGAGCAAGACAATTTATTTACGCTAATTTTTCAAATGTATTTGTTGCTCTGTTTCAAATTGATCGACCTTTGGAATCAATATAATAATCGAATTTTCTGTAGTTTAGTTTTGTACAAATTGGAGCGTGTAAAACCGACTTCACTGTATACCGGGTGATCTCGCTGAAATGGCGTGCTGTTTTCACACCGGTATTTTTTTAATAATGTATTCCCCATGAACCATGCTACTATAGCAGTCACAAATCAAACAACAAAAGTCGTTAGTTTTGCAAAAAAAAGTATTAGTTTGATTGAGTTAAGGTTGAAAGAATTTATGTCTATTAAGTTTGACACACGATTTCTAAACAAAGGAGTAGTACAACACCCTTGGCAAGTTATTTTAAAAGATAGACTTTTTAATCAAGATTCCAAAATGATATAACACTTGCCATTTTTCTTTTCCTAAAAAATATTGCCTGTTTTTCTGCAAAAAACGCGTTATTTAAAAAATTCATACTTTCGTATGTTATTTGTATTTCCTCCAAAATGATTTAACAACTTTGTTAGTAGATGTACCACTCAATATCTACAGAGAAATATGGTTTCAACAAGATGGTTGCCCAGTTCATTATGCTTGTCCTGTACGGGATTGCATACAGAATACCCAGAAAGATGAATTGGGCGTTCGATTACATGACCTCCTCATTCTCTGTTTTTAAATCCCCTTGATTTTCTTGTTAGGATTGCATAAAAGAAACAGTGTATTAAAAACCGATTGAAAATATTGCCTAACTGCGCCACAATATTTATACAGCAGTAGAAGAAATAAATGCAAAGACATTTGCACAACTAATAAAAAGATCTTTTCTGTTACGATGCAGAGCTTGTATTAGTGCCGACGACAAATAATTTGAGCATTTGCCTTAGTTTTAAGAAAATAATGCTATAAAATTAATAATAAATAAATTTGTTTGTTTAATTTCGTCTTTAAGTTAACCTTATTTGAAAAAGTCTTTTTGCAAGACATAAGGACAAGCATCTTGTTGAAACCACATTTTGTAGTTCGTAGATATTGACATCTTCTAACAAAGTTAAGCGGAAATAAAAACTAAATACAAATAATATACAAAAGTATGAATTATTTAAATAACGTGTTTTTTTGCAGAAAAACGGGCAATAATATTTTTTATGACAAGAAAAATGGCAAGTGTTGTACCATTTTGGAAACTTGACTAAACAGGCAATTTTTTTCTCCTTCCTTCTTTTTTTTTTAGAAATCGTGTGTCAAACTTGATAGACATAAATTCTTTCAACCTTAAAGGTAAGTTTAGACATGTATGGATTTAGTGGCGCCAGTAGTTGCGCCAGTTCTATTTGCATGCCAGTAATGGTTTACACTACATGTGTGAAAACAAAAATAAGTGACACGCCAGTTTCATTTTTAAAGTGTATTGTATAGTGCTCAATATGTCCAGTGAACTTTCCGACGCATGTAAAGTAGTCGCAAAACTTTTAGTGCAAAAAAAGATAAAAGAAATACAGAAAAAGAAACGACGAAAAGGTCGTGTCTGGGTTAAACCATGGATTAGTGGTCGACCTACTTTGGGTGCTTCTGCAAAATTTCTACGAGAACTCGCAACCGAAGATTCTGCAAGCTATAAAAATCATCTACGAATGACAAAGCAAAATTTTGATACTCTTCTGGATTGTGTTTTGATAAGCACTACTATGTACATCCCATAAACAAGGAAAAGATTCATAGCCTTCACTATATACACTACAATAAACACACACTACAGTAAACACAAATTAGGACCTCAACCGAAATGAAAATCTAACTAAAAACTGGCGAGCCGATGTGCAAGCATTTGTTTACACACGCAAATTTTGTTTTGCTGCACGTATTTGTCATCACTGGCGCCAGTGATTTCAGAAGGGTGCAGACTTTTCCGATCCATGTATACATGATTTGAAACTTGCATGCCCGTTGATGTTTACACATGCAACTCAATCAAATTAATATATTTTTTTGCAAAACTTTTCTCTTTCAAAACGAAACTTTGTTTGATTTGTGACTTCTACAGTAGCATGGTTCACAAGGAATACATTATTAAAAAAATCACTATTAAATTGCAAACATTTCTGACCGTAGTACCACGTACGGGCCGTCCAAAATTGCTAACTCCTCGAGATGAACAAAGCATTAGAGAAGGAGTTATCACAGATCCTCTTACAAGCGCCCCAAAAATAGCAGCAAACCTTCAAAATCAAGTTAATAAAACTGTAAGTGCAGAAACTGTGAGAAGAGTTTTGCGATCTGCCCGCTATAACGGACGAGTACCGCGAAAGAAACCCTACATTAGCAACATGAATAAGAAAGAAACGTATTGAATTTGTAGAATTGCACAAAGAAAAGGTGCAAAAAGGATATGGATTTTTGGAAAACGGTGATGTTTAGAGACTAGTCAGAATACATCATTTTTAGATGTGATGGTAGAGGTAAAATTTGGAGAAAAGCCGGTTAAAAAATCTTCTACCAACAGTTAAGCATGAGGTGGATCTGTTATGGTGTGGGGATCTATGGCTGCTTTAAAAGTCGGAAGTTCAGTTTTTACCGATAATATAATGGACAGATGGCAATATTTAAATATTTTAAAGGCCAATTTAAAACGAAATGCTGTACAATTAAGCCTTGGAAACAGTTGGATCTTCCAACAGGATCAAGACCCAAAACATACAGAGCATGTAGTTCATGAATGGCTTTTATACAATGTGCCTAAGCAGCTACATTATCCACCATAGTCACCAGATATTAACCCAATAGAACACGTGTGGTATTATCTAGAAAATGCAATTAGAAAACACAACATTGGTAGTAAGGAATCGTTAAAAGTTGCACCGGTGTGAAGACAGCAGTAAAAGATAGCAGTAAAAATTTCCGATGATACCCGAACGCCCATAGACGTCCGTAATACCGGACACACGGGGGCTCAATTTTTTCGAACAAAAAAACATTACATTATCAACTTAAGAAGTTTATTACAGTATATTAAACGTAATTAATATATTTATCACTAATATCAAGGTACAATCAGCAATTTTAATTAAAATAACTGGCTCCAGCTCCCTTATTGGTTCGAAGATCCGCACCAAACTTTATATACGCCTTCTAGACATGATAAGAAATATATTTATCGAAAGAAATTCCACTTGCAAAGGGTCCGCGGGGGTGAACTACCCCGCAGTAGATTATAATTTGCTCTACCGCCCTTATTCGGTCAAAGATCCGAACCAAACTTTACACAAGTGATCTAGACTACCTTAGAATCAAATATCCGTTAACAATTTCCACTTGCATAGGGACCGCGGGGGTGAACTACCCACCAGTAGATTTTAATTACCCCTACCGCCCTTATTCGGTCGAAGATCCGAACCAAACTTTACACAAATCTTCTAAACTACATTAGAATCAAATATCCGTTAACAATTTCCACTTGCATAGGGACCACGGGGGTGAACTACCCACCAGTAGATTTTAATTACCC